TTTGCGCTTCATATTGTTTTGCAACAGGGAACCCCAATGTTTTTCAAGAACAAGTGAATCAAAACGAATGGGACCCAAAAAGGTTCATATTTTTATTTAAAAGCAATTTGGGACTAATAATGCCTTCAACAAGGGCAGCTGATACAGAAGTTGCACACTTCTCCAGTTAAGCCAATTGTTTGATAAATCCCTGAAACAAACATCTCAATCCTTTCAATATCATTCATTAATCAATGATGATGGTTGGTCTTTTTAGTTTGTTTCCATCATCAACATCTAAATAGAGATTATTTTTCTTGAGATATACATTTATACTAACACAACTAGTAGCATTGTGAGAGAATAAGATTGGATATACCAGGATAAATCTACACTGTCAATCGACCTGAATACAAGTTCCTGCATATTCAATTAAGGAAAGGTATCATGAGCAGAGGTGGCAAAATCACACCTGACCCGTTAACACGACCCTAATTCAATGCCTAAAAAGTAGGTTAGGGTCAACTAGTATTGATCTCATGACCCGTTCGGGTCAACCCGAAACCATTGCTCAACCTGTGGGTTCACGTGGTTGACCCATTTGATTTGTTTGTTTTTAAAATTTTAATAAATATATTTTTATAAGATAATTTTTTAAGGCAAAATAACTAACAAATATAATTTAAAAGAAATTTAATATGATGGTGATCATTACAATTTATAAAACTTTTTAAATGAAGTTGAGTATATTCATTTAAAATTTATAAATTAAATATTGTATACTATATATGATTATCAATAAAGAAAACAAAAAAATTAAATGAATTATTCAAAATATTCCACAAAAAAAAAGTTATTTTACTTAAACTAATCAAACAGAGAGAAGCAAAATTATTAAAAAATAATCATATCAAAGCTACTAGAATTTAATTTTAATAATTTAGTATTAAAAATGTAACTAATTATATAAAAGAATAAAAAAATTCAACTCATAGTACAACCCGTAACTCATTAGGGTTAGGATAAAGTCAACACTTGTTAACCCACAACCTATAAAACCTTTGACCCGAGTAAACCCAACCCGAACCCGATCCAACCCGCCTCATTTGCCACCAGTAATCATGAGATAAATACTTGAATATAGTTATCAAAGGAGAAAAACTTAAAGATAATATGCTAGCTAGAAAATAAAATATGTGCTAGAAGGATCATAACCACATGCATGCCATCAATAATACCATACTAGGAGCAATGTTAGGTGCACAAGGATCTCATTAGCTGCTTCTCTTCATTCCATTTGTTGATTTCATGTACATTACTACATCAACTATTGCCAACATTTATACTATTAAAGCTGCAGTGCTCATGACAAGAGGTCCTGATGATAACAAGGGTTGTGGTAGCCAGCAGTTCCAGAAGTTGTAAGGTGTCCAGTTTTTGTTGAAGAATTTTCAAAATATTTCCAAGATTTGGGTTTGAATCACAAAAAGTTGATTCGAAGCAATTGCGCAGAATGCATTTGAGAAAGTGTAACTTTGATTCGAATCATAATTATATGATTCGAATCATTTACGGAAAATCAAAATCCGAAAAGTTACGATTTTGGTTCGAACCACATTTTTCTGGTTCGAACCATTTACGTCAAAATAAGAGATAAAATTCAGATAAGTTTCTGAAGAAAGTGGATAACTTTGGAAGGTAAGGAAACACGTCATTTGGAGTTTAAATCAAACCAAATGACTTTTGGAAAAGTTTCCAACGGATAAATTTTATGATAACTCAGTTATTATCCGTTAATAAACTGATAATAACTAAAAAGGAGCGTCTGTTCACAACAGACATCTTGCCCCTATAAATATGAAGTTATCTCTTCTTCTTCTTAGTCTCTTGAACCCAGAAACAAATCCCTACTATTATCTAAATAAAACAACCCCTTTTTGCACTTCGATTGCTGCAGAAATCCTTGTACAAAAACTATTGTTTTGTCGCTTTCCAAAGGATGGTTCAGTGGTTGATCTTGCTAGTGCAAAAGCAAGATCAACAAGGCACTTCATTGTATCCTACAGGCATTTCGAGTTACTCCTTTTGCATACCAGATCTGGTGGGGGCGAAATTAGCCTAAAGGAAAGTGGCATTTGCAACACGCCTTGAAGCCATTTGCAGATTTACTACCCCACTTATCTAACAATCTTTAGGCTAATTTCTGTTCTTAAATTATGGCTGCAACTTTGCGTGAGATGGCTACTAATTTCCAGAAGTTAGATCGCTTTGATGGGGGCAACTTTATTCGATGGCAACGCAAGATGCACATCCTTCTCACAACTCTCAACATCGTTTATGTTCTCATTGATGCTCGACCAGATGAAAATGAGAATGAAACTTTGCAAGATACAAGGAAAAGGAAAAAGTGGGAGAATGATGATTATGCCTGCAGGGGCTGCATCTTAAATGGTATGCCTGATTCCCTTTTTAATACTTATGTTCATGAGTCTACTGCAAAAGAATTGTGGGATAAGTTAGAAGCAAGATAAATGAAGGTTAAATACCCTTTTTGGTCCCTCTACTATAAGAAAAAGCCCTTTTTTGATCCCTGTACCAAAAAAATCCCTTTTTTGGTCCTTACTGTTCACAAATCCGACCCCTTTTTAGTCATTCCGTTAAATTTTGACTGATGTGGCAGGTTCATTAACGGAAACACTTTTTTTTTTTACTAAATTACGTGGAAAATTCATATGGCAAAAATTAATGACATGTTAAATTTTTTATTTTTAATTACTAATATACCCTCATCTTCTTCCCCGGCTTCTCCTTCCTCCAGCCCTTTTTTTTTTCTTTTTTTTTCTTTTGCCTCAGGCGAACCCAAGAGCTTGGGTTCACGAGGAACCCAGCTCGCGGGGTTCATGCGGAACCCAGCTGGCTTGGATCAAAACGGGGAGGACCACGACAATCTTCATAGGAATCCATCATCAAATAATTGCCGCTGATTAGGTTTCAGTTGCGGAATGAGTTCCAGTTGGGGCAGCCGGAGCTGTACAAGCAAGCTGATAGGGACGATCCCAAAGCTCTCCTTTGGCTAACTTAGAAAATCTTTAGGTAAATGCAAACTAAATGCCATAAACTTTGTTTTAGTGTTACCTCATAAGTCATATTATCAACATCAAGACCCATGTCGTCATTTTCATCATCACTCTCCTCCTCCGGCAAACCATTCAGCATCGAAGCATCGACAAACCATTCAGCATCGAAGCATCGACAACCATGAAACCCTGATATGCCACCATTAGTTCAGATAAAAGTTAGACTTCGATATAACTATTTTCTATACTTCAGAACGACACATACTAAATTAAAAACTTTGTTCAAAGATACAGTTGCTTATGAGCAATTTTAGCAAGAACTGGTTAGTGACAATCAGTTTGAAGAACAGTTTCAGATGTGAAAACTACCCATCTAGTTTATGTGCCTGCCTACTGATATAAATTAGTGTAAGATTCTTTAATATAAGAGTGAAAACAAGCATAACAGGGACAAATTGTTAACCTTGATTTCACAAACATGAATAAATCCAAACTATACCTCAAAATGCACGGTGTGTTCCCTACTGAAAATGTGCAATGCATCACGAACCTATTATGGAAAAAATAGAGGAATTAGAATCTCCGATTAAGAGATGGTTTTGGAGCTAGATAAAATAATCTAGTAAAAAGGAAAGTTGAAAAAGGGAATAACAATCAGAATGTGTAACCGGTTGAGATAGGATTTATGAGGACATTTTCCAACATTAGCTGTGTTGTAGTAACCGACTGGCAGTGAAATCTTACTGTCGATTGCGGATAAGTTTTTGAAATTAAACAGAAATAATTAGGTTAAGAAATGAAATTAAACAGAAACAACAAGGATAAGAAACTAACATGATGACTGAAGGATTACTAGGGTTTTGAAGAAAGAAGATGGAATCATAGAATCAAAGGCATAGTATGAAAACAATTACCTGAAATTCTTGGATTGCTTCGTCTGATATTGAAGAGTTTGGTAGTGTTATTGAATAAAATAAAATGCCGCTGAGGAATTCACTTCCCGATCTGTCCAACCGTTCGGAATCCCCTCCCTCTCTCACACAGAAAATTTGTGCAGAAAAGTTTCAAACATTGAATGCTTCCTCCACCACCACCCATCATCCACCTTCAATGGTTTCTAACAGTTACAAAACAAAGCCACCAAACGAAAATCTCTGAAATCACGAAGCCTATTGTGAAAGAGAAAATTAGCCAATGGAGGCTTAATTTAATAAATTTATTAATTAGCCAAAGGAGAGCTTTGGGATCGTCCCTATCAGCTTGCTTGTATAGCTCCGGTTGCCCCAACCGGAACTCATTTCGCAACTGAAACCTAACCAGCGGCAATTATTTGATAATGGATTCCTATGAAGATTGCCGTGGTCTTCCCCGTTTTGATCCAAGCCAGCTGGGTTCCACGCGAACCCCGTAAGCTGGGTTCCTTGTGAACCCAGGCTCTTGGGTTCGCCTGGAAGTAAAAGAAAAAAAAGAAAAAAAAAAAAAAGTTGGAGGAAGGAGAAGCCGGGGAAGAAGACCAGGGTATATCAGTAATTAAAAATAAAAAATTTAACATGTCATTAATTTTTGCCACATGCATTTTCCATGTAATTTAGTAAAAAAAAAAAAAGTGTTTCCATTAATTAACCTACCACATCAGCCAAAATTTAACAGAATGACTAAAAAGGAGTCGGATTTGTGAACAGTAAGGACCAAAAAAGGGATTTTTTTGGTACAAGGATTAAAAAGGGGCTTTTTCCTATAGTAGAGGGACCAAAAAAGGTATTTAACCATATATGAATGAAGATGCAACAAGTAAGAAGTTTCTGGTGACCAGATGGAATAATTATAAAATGATTGATAACAAATTAGTCATGGAACAATTTAGAGAAATTGAAAAGTTGCTGAATAGTTTCAAGCAATATGATATGAAGATGGATGAATCCATAGTTGTGTCTTTAATAATTGATAAACCTCCTCATGCATGGAAAGATTTCAAGAGAACATTAAAACACAAAAAGGAAGATATTTCTCTTGAAAATCTTGCTAACTCTTTGAGACTTGAAGAGCAATATAGAGCAGAAAATGAAAAGGGGCAGAAAGTGCAAGTCTCGGATGTGCATGTATTAGAGGAAGGAACTTCAAGCAAGCCCAAAAAGCCTTTCAAGAAGAAGGAGTATTCTGTCAAGCAAAATCAGAAATTTAAGAAGCAAAAGGGTGCATGTTTCCATTGTGGAAAAACTGGACACTTCCAAAGGGAGTGTTATTTTCTCAAGAAGAAAAAGAAAGCACCAGCATTATCACATGAAAAATTCATTGCTGTGATTTCTGAAATTAATCTCATGGAAGATGACACTGCTTGGTGGATAGATTCTGGTGCTACAAAGCATGTTTGCAAGGACAAAAGTCTATTCAAGACTTTAAAACCAGAACTTGAAGGAAGTGTGCTGTATATGGGAAATTCTGCAGCAGTACAAGTGAAAGGCAAAGGAACCGTGGACCTTGAGTTCACTTTTGGAAAAATTCTCACTCTCATTGATGTGCATTATGTGCCGAATATTAGGAAAAATCTAGTTTCAGCAAGTTTGTTGAACAAATTTGGTTTTAAACTTGTATTTGAGGCAGATAAATTTATTCTGTCTAAGGGTGGGATTTTTGTAGGAAAAGGTTATGCTTGTGAGGGCATGTTCAAGATGAACATTAATTATAATATTAATAATAAGGGTGTTGTTTCTGCTTATATTCTTGACTCATTTAATTTATGGCATCATAGGTTAGAACATGTTAATTTCAAGAAAATGCATGAGATGTCTAAATTAGAATTAATTCCTACTTTGCCTAAAAATGAATCACAATGCAAGACATGTATGCTTACTAAGATTACTAGAATACCTTTTCCTAAGATTGAAAGAGTTTCTAAATTGCTTGATCTTGTGCATAGTGATGTTTGTGACATGCATAGTTCTCCTACTATTGGTGGCAAGAAATATTATGTTACTTTTATTGATGATTGTTCAAAATTTTGTTATGTTTACTTGTTAAATACAAAAGATGAAGCAATGGAAAAATTCAAAGTGTATAAAGCAGAAGTGGAATTGCAAAGTGAGACATTTATCAAATGTCTAAGAACTGATAGAGGTGGGGAATATTATGATCCATCTTACTTTGAATCCACTGGAATTATCCATGAGATAACAGCCCCATACACACCACAACAAAATGGTGTGGCAGAATGTAAGAATAGATTTTTAACTGAAATGGTGAATGCCATGCTATCAAATTCTGGTTTAAGTCCAGGTTTTTGGGGTGAAGCATTGCTAACAGCATGCCATATATTGAATAGGGTGCCTACTAAAAAAGGCCAAGTTATCCCATATGAACTTTGGAAGAAAAGAAAACCAAACCTTAACTATTTAAGAGTTTGGGGTTGTACACTACTGCAGGAATGGGATTTCCGAACCGAAACATCGGTCCGGATATATAGGAAATCGGTCTGAATATATATATCCGGACCGATATTGGTCCTTATAGTTGATCCGAAAAAACCTGGTACGAATAAGTCTAATATACAGACTGACGCATAATCGGTTCATATATATATAATATTCGGACCAAAATCGGTCCGTATATTTCAGTGAGAAATATAAATAATTATTGAGAAATTGAAATAAGCGAACCGAAATTGGTCCCAAAAAAATAATATAATAAAATAATAAAATATATACGAACCGACAACGGTCTG